CTGGGTTTTTCCTGTCTCTATGTAGTCAAACTTGTCTAGGTGATATACTGTACCTGGGTTTTTCCTGTCTCGATGTAGTCAAACTTGTCTAGGTGATATACTGTACCTGGGTTTTTCCTGTCTCGATGTAGTCAAACTTGTCTAGGTGATATACTGTACCTGGGTTTTTCCTGTCTCGATGTAGTCAAACTTGTCTGAGTTATATACTATACCTGGGTTTTTCCTGTCTCGATGTAGTCAAACTTGTCTGAGTTATATACTATACCTGGGTTTTTCCTGTCTCGATGTAGTCAAACTTGTCTGAGTTATATACTATACCTGGGTTTTTCCTGTCTCGATGTAGTCAAACTTGTCTGAGTTATATACTATACCTGGGTTTTTCCTGTCTCGATGTAGTCAAACTTGTCTGAGTTATATACTATACCTGGGTTTTTCCTGTCTCGATGTAGTCAAACTTGTCTGAGTTATATACTATACCTGGGTTTTTCCTGTCTCGATGTAGTCAAACTTGTTTGAGTTATATACTATACCTGGGTTTTTCCTGTCTCGATGTAGTCAAACTTGTTTGAGTTATATACTATGCCTGGGTTTTTCCTGTCTCGATGTAGTCAAACTTGTTTGAGTTATATACTATGCCTGGGTTTTTCCTGTCTCGATGTAGTCAAACTTGTTTGAGTTATATACTATGCCTGGGTTTTTCCTGTCTCGATGTAGTCAAACTTGTTTGAGTTATATACTATGCCTGGGTTTTTCATGTTTAGTGTTCATAACAACATTGTTAAAAGTATTTATTTTAAAGGTTATGACAAATTTCATTACGTAACTCTGTATGAGTCATAGGTTGTATGTGAGGTTTAATTGCTGTATTCGGCTTTTGTAATATTGTTGGCGTCATCTTACTCCAAGCTTCGTAGTATGTCACTAGAGGGCTAGATATTTCTAAATTTTTCTGTCGCGTGTTATAAATGCGTGCAGATACAGAGAGGAAAAGGAGAAAGCAAGAGATAATCAGACAGATTTAGATTGAGTGACTGGCAGTTCAGCCATGATGGGCGATTTCTAAAGAAAAAGTTAAGTTAGTGAAAGTGAAGTTAGACTGCGTGATTGTTAGTTTAGCCTTAATGAGTGATATTTAAAGTGAGTTTACCAGGGACAAGGAGAAATAATTTGTCTTATCAATTGGGCTCTAAAGTAACTGAATGAGCCTGTGTGGACATTTTACAAGGAAATATTTATTTAAAGTTTTAAATAAAACTGATTGTGAATTGTTGTACATACGTTTGACCTGTTTAGAATATATTATTTTAAAACAAGTGGACTGTGTGCTGTATATTTATTTTTCGAATTTCTCGCAAACAAATCACAGGCACCTACTATAAAGAGTCCGAGCCTAAAAAACTGAGTGTGCTCGAGTTTAATATTTTATATTTGATAAAATATTATTCTGTGTATCGTTAATTTATATAAATCTCACAACTAACACTCAATTCTGTAATCAAGTCCTAGTAAACATAGGGGTTTACTGACCTCTCTCTGGCCCAAGTGTATTGCAAGATTTAAGCGTGGAAATCGGTGTGACCTTTCATCAATGCATCCCGCCTTTTGGTTTAAAAGAATTTCAACCTCGTTCGTGTCTCTACACTGGTCTAGTAAATCTGCTGCGAAATTGGAACAGTTATGGGAGAGGTCTTTGTATTCGTTCTGAAAGTGTGAAAATACAACTGGAATATTCTATTAGTTCTTTACATCATATCGTCCTGAAAGTGTGAAAATACAACTAGAATATTTTATGGTATAAAAAATAGCACTTTGTAAACCAATTCTATTAGTTGTTTACATCATATCGTTCTGAAAGTGTGAAAATACAACTGGAATATTTTATGGTATATAAAATAGCACTTTGTAAACCAATTCTATTAGTTGTTTACATCATATCGTTCTGAAAGTGTGAAAATACAACTGGAATATTTTATGGTATATAAAATAGCACTTTGTAAACCAATTCTATTAGTTGTTTACATCATATCGTTCTGAAAGTGTGAAAATACAACTGGAATATTTTATGGTATATAAAATAGCACTTTGTAAACCAATTCTATTAGTT